GATAGATAGATAGATAGATAGATAGATAGATAGATAGATAGATAGATAGATAGATAGATAGATAGTAGATAGATAGTAGTAGATCGATAGATAGATAGATAGATAGATAGAGATAGATAGATATAGATAGATAGATATATATATAGATAGATAGATAGATAGATAGATAGATAGATAGATAGATAGATATAGTAGATAGATATAGATAGATATAGATAGATAGATAGATAGAGATAGATAGATAGATAGATAGATAGATAGATAGATAGATAGATAGATGATAGATAGATAGAGATATAGATAGATAGATAGATAGATAGATATAGATAGATAGATAGATAGATAGATAGATAGATAGATAGATAGATGATAGATATAGATAGATAGATAGTAGATAGATAGATAGATAGATAGATAGATATATAGATAGATAGATAGATAGATAGATAGATAGATAGATAGATAGATAGATAGATAGATAGATAGATAGATAGATAGATAGATAGATAGATAGAGATAGATAGATAGATAGATAGATAGATAGATAGATAGAGATAGATAGATGATAGATAGATATATATAGATAGATAGATAGATAGATAGATAGATAGATAGATAGATAGATAGATAGATAGATAGATAGATAGATAGATAGATAGATATATAGATAGATAGATAGATAGATAGATAGATAGATAGATATATATAGATAGATAGATAGATAGATAGATAGATAGATAGATAGATAGATAGATAGTAGTAGTAGTAGTCGATAATAGATAGATAGATAGATAGATAGATAGATAGATAGATAGATAGATAGATAGATAGATAGATAGATAGATAGATAGATAGATAGATAGATAGATAGATAGATAGATAGATAGATAGATAGATAGATAGATAGATAGATAGATAGATAGATAGATAGATAGATAGATAGATAGATCGATAGAATAGATAGATAGATAGATAGTAGATAGATAGATAGACTCTAAAGAATTCATTACTTTACTTATCTGCTCTTCTACCCAACATAATAATAGTTCAGCGCGAAAACTAAGAGATTTGTTTTTTTATATAAACAAAACTTTATGAAGGCCAATGACAAAAATTACACTCAATTTTGTGTTTTTTAACTTGCCTCTTTAGTTCGTTCCAAAAAAAACAAAAACAACTGAAGAAAAAAACTATATCAGCCGGTAAACACATGACTGATATTTCGGTACGAAAGAGGCATAATTTAAATGGCAAATATGGAAAAAATGTGGATATAAAACTTATAATTATGTTGGTCATTTAAAAGATTTAACAAAATAAACATATAGGGAGTAAACAAAATTTAAAGACTAGAGGAGAAGGACTGAAGGAATTCTTTGGCAAATGGTTTAATTAGTATTCCATTATGATTTGGTTAATATTTAAGATATTGAATATTTTATAAAAAAAAAACAGGGCAAAACTAGGAAAATCTTGCTATAAAAATATTTGGTCTAAAACAATAGATTTGATTTCTATTTCTTTTGTTTGTCTATGACTATTTAGTTGAAGGGGCTGTTTTGATCATAAATGATTAGATAAGTTATAGCGACAAATAAGATTGTGTTTTTAGTAAAATGATTCATGTTAAACATTATGTAAAACAAACAAAATAAAACAGATATTTTTTGTTTAACATTATGAGGATACAAAAACGGTTCAATATACTGTAAATGGGGTCTAAAAAGAGGAAAGGGAGAGATTAAGGTAATGATACCATGAGTTCATAAAATAGTCTAAACTATAGACTAGACTAAGTAATAAACTATAGACTAAACTTTAGACTAGAATATAAACTTGTCTAGAGACTACACAATAGACAAGACTATAAACCGGACTATACACTATTGAATAGACTATAGTCTAGTCTATAGTCTAGACTATAGACTTGACTATAGGCTAAAATATCGGCTAGACTTTAGATTAGACTAGACTATAGACTCGACTGTAGACTAGACTATAGACTAGACTATAGACCCGACTATAGACTTAACTGTAGACTTGACTGTAGACTTGACAATAGAATTGACTGTAGACTAGACTATAGACTAGACTATAGACTCGACTATAGGCTGTAGACTCGACTATATACTCGACTGTAGACCAGACTATAGGCTGTAGACTCGACTATAGACTTAACTGTAGACTAAAATATCGACTAGACTTTAGACTAGACTATAGACTCGACTGTAGACTAGACTATAGACTCGACTATAGACTCGACTATAGACTAGACTTTAGACTAGACTATAGACTAGACTATAGACTAGACTATAGACTAGACTATAGACTAGACTATAGACTAGACTATAGACTAGACTATAGACTAGACTATAGACTAGACTATAGACTAGACTATAGACTAGACTATAGACTAGACTATAGAGTAGACTATAGACTAGACTATAGACTAGACTATAGACTAGACTATAGACTAGACTATAGACTAGACTATAGACTAGACTATAGACTAGACTATAGACTAGACTATAGACTAGACTATAGACTAGACTAAAGACTAGACTATAGACTAGACTATAGACTAGACTATAGACTAGACTATAGACTAGACTATAGACTAGACTAGACTAGACTATAGACTAGACTATAGACTAGACTATAGACTATAGACTAGACTATAGACTCGACTATAGACTAGACTATAGACTAGACTATAGACTAGACTATAGACTAGACTATAGACTAGACTATAGACTAGACTATAGACTAGACTATAGACTAGACTATAGACTAGACTATAGACTAGACTATAGACTAGACTATAGACTAGACTATAGACTAACTATAGACTAGACTATAGACTAGACTATAGACTAGACTATAGACTAGACTATAGACTAGACTATACTAGACTATAGACTAGACTATAGACTAGACTATAGACTAGACTATAGACTAGACTATAGACTAGACTATAGACTAGACTATAGACTAGACTATAGACTAGACGATAGACTAGACTATAGACTAGACTATAGACTAGACTATAGACTAGACTATAGACTAGACTATAGACTAGACTATAGACTAGACTATAGACTAGACTATAGACTAGACTATAGACTAGACTATAGACTAGACTATAGACTAGACTATAGACTAGACTATAGACTAGACTATAGACTAGACTATAGACTAGACTATAGACTAGACTATAGACTAGACTATAGACTAGACTATAGACTAGACTATAGACTAGACTATAGACTAGACTATAGACTAGACTATAGACTAGACTATAGACTAGACTATAGACTAGACTATAGACTAGACTATAGACTAGACTATAGACTAGACTATAGACTAGACTATAGACTAGACTATAGACTAGACTATAGACTAGACTATAGACTAGACTATAGACTAGACTATAGACTAGACTATAGACTAGACTATAGACTAGACTATAGACTAGACTAGACTATAGACTAGACTAGACTATAGACTAGACTATAGACTAGGCTATAGACTAGACTATAGGCTCAACTATCGACTATTCTATAGACTCTTCCTTCCTTTAAGAAAATTTTCAAAAATAGTTTTTTAAGAAAACTTTCAGAAAAAAATTTTAGGTCCACAGAAAGTAAAGTCTAAAATGTAATTTAAAAATTATTAAATCTTTAAATAAAAAATTATTGCATCTAAATGTATAAAGAAACAAAAACGTAATTAAAACATTTAGTATATTTTAAGCAAATGTTTGCACATAAATTGTTTGTGTATATCATTTATAGTTTATGGGGACTGTGTGTCTTCTAATTTATAGACCAGAGGGTTTCCTCCTTTTGCACACTTTAGCAATTATCTGGTGTTTGTTTCTGTTCTTCTTTGTGGCTTGTGTTTACTTTTTCTTAAAAAAAATACTGTTTTGTTTTCTATTTTATTTTTCAACATTTTGAAAAAATCAATGGAAAGTTTTTTGGCTGTGTTTGGCGAAAAAAAAATAACAAACGTAACGAAATAAACGAAGTAAATGACAAGAATATACAAAAAATAACACAAAATAGCGAAAAATCAACAAACTATTTAGATAAAAATAAATTGTGTATACAAAATCAGAAAAATGTTTTTCTACTATATGACGAATTCTAAATATATATAAGTTTTTTGTTTAAATGTGGGTACTTTATAATGAAAATCATCACATTGAAATTGGGAGAAAATTTTAATTGTTTGTAATTTTTTAAAGAAAATTTAGATAAAAAGAGTTCAATAAACTTGTTGAACAAAATTATCGAAAATTTTGTAAAAAAAGATAGGTATAGAAAAGAATTATTTTTTTTAAGTAATTTATAAAAAGATGTACGTAGGTAAAGACTTATAGAATTTTTTTTTTTTTAATTTCATAAAATTAGCCATCTTTTGAAACATAGTTTTTATACAAATTAGCAAAATATCCATCTTTTTTGACATAAATTTCATAGATTACTATATTTTCTCACTACAATTTAAATTTCAATTCGATAAGACACCTAGAACTCGAGATATTTTGATTTGAATATGCAAATTTTAAGCGTAAATGCCGAATTACAAAAGCTGCGTTTAAACTTTATTTCCAAAGCCGTTAAATGTTAATACATATGTATATTAATATGGCAACTCCATTGACAGCAAGTGCATTGTTTATTTTCACTTTCCTCCATTCTATGATCATTTTTTTGAGAACAATGAGAGCACACTTTTTTTATTTACTTGAATTGTTTGTGTATTTGTTGCAAAAGTGCAATAGTGTTGAAAACAGCAAAAAAATGATAAAAAACCAAGTAAATAAAGAACTTTTAATATAAACTGGTTTATATTGCATAATTGTGTAAAAAAAACTAACCGGCATAAACAAGCCGCAAAAACAGAACAAAACAAACAAGAGAATTAAGTATAAAAACTAAAAAGAAAAACTAAACAAAAGGTAAAGACGATAAAAAAATCAATGTTAAACCTACCTTGAACATCTTCGGGCACCTGGCAGGCTTTGCCCCCTACCAAATGATGATGACGATGATGATGATGGTGCTGGTGGTGACAATGATTATTATGTAGATGATGTTCTCCAGGTTGTGCGGCTGCTACCTGCAGTAGCAGAGGCGGCTGCCGTGGGAGCAAATAACATTTTGAAAATCAATTGTATTTCACCCGATTTTACAAGTTTATTATTAAGCGTTTCTTGATCGGACTTATACAACGTATACACTTTTGTTTTATAGGCAAAATTATGACCTTTGACAATGTTATGTTTGAATTTTTTCAACAACACCAAAGGCAAACGCAATTGTGCCTGTCCCAGGGGTTTAGCTGCTGTCGTACAACTGCCACTAGTAGTACAAGCAGTGACAATAATTTCAATGGGTTTGCAAGAACGCAAGTATTCTAAGAATAGCGCGCCACTCGTACAAATACGGTACCGTAATTTATTATTGGCAGACAATGGCAAATGTTGTCTTTTGGCTTGTTTATGTTTCGGCTGGTTGTGGTCGTTCTGTTGTTGCCTTTTAATATGCTGTTGTTGGTATTTTCTTTTGGTATTATACAATTTACAATATTCGTTATGCGGTGGCTGCTGCTGCTGCTGTTGGTTTTTACAGCTGATGTTTAGATTGGCGGCGTCTTCCTTACGTTCCCCACACCAAACAATTTTCACCTGTATATTGTCTAGTGTATGATAGTGTTTAACGTTTCCTATTATATCTTTACTGTTGTCTTTAATAGAGCCTATTTCTTTATGTATTTCATTAACACTTGCACTATTTTTATTATTAATTATACCATTTAAAGGTGTGTCATTGGTATTTTGCTTTTTAGCTTTTTCTTTTATACCCTTTACACTTATTATTTTATGTTCTGGTAATTTTCCACTGTTTGTTTCTATTGTATTGGTTATGAAATTTATAAGACTCACTTCCAATTCCAAATATCCTTGCAAATCTTTTTGTTCACTCTTAACTTCTTCGGGCACATTTGCTGGTGGTAATTTATAAACAAAACCGTTCATTATTTATTTAGCCATTGTTTTATTTATTTAATATGTTATAGCCAAATTGAAATAAACAAAAAAAATTATTAAATAAAAACTATTTTTTATCCTTTCAACAGTGGAAAAATTTCAATTTTTTTCTTCAAACACACACACATACACTGGCAATATACGCACCAACTAAAAATTTTTCACTATTTTATCTTAACAGTACTTGTGCCCTTCCAGAACATTCATTAGGAATACACTAAATTGGTTAAACAGCGCAGAAATGTATCAAGCACCGGCGCACACCAAGGCAAAACACAAAAAAATGTGAGCAGAAAACAACAACAACAAGAATTCCGGGTTTTTTTGCGTTTTTGTTGACATTTAACTTGAATGTAAACAATGTTGCCACTAGGTTATTGTCATATTTACAGGTGAAAAAAGCTTAACTGTGAATAATATATTATTTTTTTTTGCCAATAATTAAATTTTTGTTAATTTGTATGTAAAATTTTAATTTAAATCTTAATTTATAATAGAAAATTCTAAATTTGAAACAGCTGTCAAATCACCTGTAGCAATAAATGTCAATTGGAAGTTTTATCAAATTGGAATTGTTAAAACGTAGTTGCCATATGGTTTTACTTGCAGGTTCTTAAAAGAATGTATTCTTGAAATATATTTCTTTAACAAATTTCTGATTTGAAAAATTCTGCTTTTTTAAGCAATATTTTTGGAAAATTCGTTTTTATATAAAAATTTTCGTAAAATCCTTTTTCTATAAAACATTTTTGAAAAATTCTTTTTTTTTTATAAAAATTTTCGGAAAAATTATATTTTGATAAAAAATATTATTTTATATGAATTTTACTAAAACTGCAAGTTTTTTAAGAATAATTACGAAAACTTCATTATTTATAGAGAAATTCCTAAAAGTACCTTGAAAACCGCATTTTTTCATTAACATCCATCTGGCTACTCACTTTTACCGTAAACAACATTAACTAGAGTTACCCAACTATACCAAAACATAAACTTCTTAGTAGAAATTATAACCTCATCTGGCTACCTTAAACAAGAAAAAGTTTTTTTTGCTTCACTTCGAAGTTTAACATCAATTAAAATAATGTTTTAGTTAATTAATCACGATAAATAAATACAAATCAATGGCCTGAAGGTGGACAATATAAATATGACGGAGTTATTTAACTATTGTCGCATTTGTTTACAAACAAAATCCAGCAATACTTCTCTGTATTTGCATGTCCAGCAGAAGTATTTGCCCAGTGTCATAGAAAATATTTGTGGCGTAGTGGTAAGTGGGTGATAATGTCATAATAATTGAGGAATAATAATGAGGAAAAATCAATATTTATGCTAATTATTTATTAGATCTCATCTTTTGATGAACCACAGGCTTTAATATGTCGCGATTGTGCTGAGGCCATTATACGGGCCGACAATATCATACAAAAATGCCAGGAATCACATAAATTGCTAGCAAACCAAAGAAAACAATTGTTGCTAGAAGACAAGAAAACTGCTAAAAGTGATGAACAGCAAAATGAGGAATGGCTGTTGGCGGCAGAGTGTAAAAAGGAAATAGATTTAAGTGAACCAACAGAGGAGTCGGAAAACTTTTCACAACATTACTTTGTAGAACCTGAAATGCTGGTAGAATCTATATTGGAAACTACTCTGCCGGATTCACCCAGAACGAAGGCAAAAAGTAAAATTTCCAGCAATGTAAATAAAACGGAGTGTAAAGAAAAAAAGGTACGTAAAAAAAGATCACGTTTAAAACCAAGCGAACCATTGGAAGAACAAGAGCTGTTAATTCCCGAAGAAGAAAATCCTGCCGCTTTATTATACCAAAGTCATTTTAAAACCTCCAGACCTAAGAAAACCTTTGTGCGAAGTCGTGAACAATATTTAAAACGCAAAATACGCAATTATCCCGTAAAAGAACCGCTCAAACTCATAGGCGGCGCTGGAGTAGTACGCAAACGTAAACCCAAGTCCTATCACCGAGCCATACCAAATTTCTATTTCCGCTGTGAGCTGTGCCATGAATTTGAATCGAATGTTCGCCTCTTATGCCGTAACCCATCTCACTACGGTGCATGGTATTGAAAGGCCGGCAATTTTTCGCTGTTCCCAATGTGATGCCAAACCCTTCATCAAGAATCAATCGCTGCAGGAACACATAGCCACTATTCACGAACAACAGCCCAAGAAACGTGATTTCGTGTGTCAAGAATGCGGTAAGACTTTCATTAAAAATTGTCATTTACAAAAACATTTACTGTCCGTACACAAAATGGGCGAAATGCCCTATAAATGTAATATACCACAATGTGGTAAAGGCTACGTAGATGCCTATGCCTTACGTATGCACATGAAACAAACACATCATATTGATGACGAGCAAGAAATTGAATCACTAACTACTCTATATCAATGCGATGCCTGTGGTAAATCATTTATGGATTTACAAAGTTTAAATGTTCATATAAAAACGGCACATAGTCTAGAGGGTTTTAGTTGTTTACAATGTGGTTACAATTTTCGTCAGAAAGCTCGTTATGAGGCTCATGTGCGTAGGGCTAAATGTAAACCGCCCTGTTTTGTGTGTCGTCACTGTGAGAGGACATTTGTTAAACTTGTTCAGCTGGAAGAACATCAAAGAGAAATGCATTAGAAATGCATGAAAAATTATTTATTTATTTGTTATTTATTATTTAGGTTTATATATCTTTTTTTTAAATTTCCCTTTTTTGAAAATTAAAAAAAAATATTTTTTTTTTTTAATTTAAAAAATTATTAATTTATTTTTTATAATTATAATTTTCGGAATATTTCTATTTTTTATAGAAAATTATCAAAAAATTTCTAATTTTTATAGAAAATTTTCGGAAAATTTCTTTTTTATAGAAAATTTTCGGAAAATTTCTTTTTTTATAGAAAATTTTCGGAAAATTTCTTTTTTATAGAAAATGGTCGGAAAATTTCTCTTTTTTTATAGAAAATTTTCGGAAAATTTCTCTTTTTATAGAGAAATGTCGAAAAATTTCTCTTTTTATAGAAACATTTCGGAAAATTTCTTATTTTTATAGAAAAATTTCGGAAAATTTATTATTTTTATAGAAAAATTTCGGAAAATTTATCTTTTTTATAGAAAATTTTCGGAAACTTTCTCTTTTTTATAGAAAAGTTTCGGAAAATTTCTCTTTTTTATAAAAAAAAATTCGGAAAATTTTTCGTTTTTTAGGAAAATTTCTCTTTTTTATAGAAAATTTTCGGAAAATTTCTCTCTTTTATAGAAAATTTTCGGAAAATTTCTCTCTTTTATAGAAAATTTTCGGAAAATTTCTCTCTTTTATAGAATATTTTCGGAAAATTTCTCTCTTTTATAGAAAATTTTCGGAAAATTTCTCTCTTTTATAGAAAATTTTCGGAGAATTTCTCTTTTTATAGAAAATTTTCGGAGAATTTCTCTTTTTTATAGAAAATTTCTCTCTTTTATAGAAAATTTTCGGAAAATTTCTCTCTTTTATAGAAAATTTTTGGAAAATTTCTCTCTTTTATAGAAAATTTTTGGAATATTTTTTTTTAGGAAAATTTCTCTTTTTTATAGAAAATTTTCGGAAAATTTCTCTCTTTTATAGAAAATTTTCGGAATATTTCTCTCTTTTATAGAAAATTTTCGAAATATTTCTTTTTTTATAGAAATTCTCTCTTTTTTAGAAAATATTTGGAATATTTCTCTTTTTTATAGAAAAGTTTCGTAAAATTTCTTTTTTATAGAAAAGTTTTGGAAAATTTCTCTTTTTTTTAAAAAAAAAATCGGAAAATTTTTCGTTTTTATAGAAAAATTTAGGAAAATTTCTCTTTTTTATAGAAAAGTCTCAGAAAATTGCTCTATTTTATAGAAAATTTTTGGAAAATTGCTCTATTTTATAGAAAATTTTCGGAAAATTTCTCATTTTTATAGAAAAATTTAGGAAAAATTCTCTTTTCTATAGAAAATTTCTTATAGAAAATTGGTTGTTATTTGTGTTCTTCCCCCATGAGTTCTCATTTGTCTTTAACATTTCTTATTGCCATTTTGTTTCTATTTTTTAATATTTATTATTTTTTTTTTTATTATTTAACATTTCAAGTGCAATATATCCAATATACACAAAGATAAAATAACTAATTTTAAGCTTTCATTAATCAATCTCTTATAGAAATAAAAATTATAACAAAATAAATGTTTTAGCACAAGAAATCATTTAATGTTCCACTAATTTCTTACTCAACGTTAAAGAAAACTCTTAAAAGATACGATTTTCATTAAAAGGCTGTTTACTGGGTTCATCCACTTTGCGAGTCACCTCTATGGAATTGATACGTATCATGGTGTTGGGTGATCTTTGGAAATTAATACGTAAATATTGCTTTCTGCGCTTATTCTTGAAATGGGTCTTAGTGTGTGTTAGGGTTTTTTCAATAATGGTGGCTTTAACATCCACCAAACCGGGTTCCAATAAAGGGGCACCAATTAAGGTGAAATCTTTAGCTCCTGCCAGTAATACCTTTTCCAAACGTATTTCATCGCCTATGGTGGGTGGCCAATAGCCTTCGACCAATATAATATCGCCGGCTGTTACCTTAAATTGTTTGCCGCATAAGTGAACCACAGCGAATAACCGGCCTTCTTCCTTCTTGGCTAATTGTTGATTAACCTTGCTAAACACTTGCTCACATTTCTCTTGCTCCTCCTTGGTAACCTTCTTTACGGGCGCTATATCCTGTGTAACCAATTTGGCTTGCTGACAAAAGCGTGGCGTAACACTTAATGCTCTCATGGAATCTTGTATTAACAAGAAAAGGAAACACATGTTAATTTTAGTTAATTATCAATGAAATTAGTAAATTACTTGTTAAATTATTGATGAGACTGGGCTGGCGCGCCACCAGGCTTATTCCACGCGCCAATAAAGACATTTTTCTAATTAATTTATTGTATTTTCTCGATATTTAGACAAAAAATTCTAATTTCACAGGTGTATGTTAAAAAAATTCGTCGGTCTGTCATAGAAGGAAAAAAGTAAACAGCTGATTGTCAAAGCTTTCTGTATATTCACCTCACTCTAACAGGGTTGTATTTTTTTGGTAAGGTGACGGCATAGTTGTATTGTTAGGGTAAAGTAAAAAGAGTTTTTGTTGTAAAAGACCGTTATTTTTGAAACAAACTAAAGTAATTCTGTTAAAGAATTTTCATTTTATAAAATATTATGGAAAATTTCAGAAAAATTTTCTTCTTTATAGATTTTTTTTTGAAAATTTTTTTTTGTTTTCTTTTTATAAACATTTGTTTTAAAAACTTCTCCTTTTATTAAAAATTTTAAAAATTTTTTTATAAAAAAATTAAAATTTCTCTTTTTATAGAACATTTACGGAAAATTTTTCTTTTCTATAGAAAATTTTCGGAAAATTTCTCCTTTCTATAGAATTTTTTTTTTTTTTTTCTATAGAAAATTTTCATAAAATTTATCTTTTCTATAGAAAATTTCTCTTTTCTATAGAAAATTTTCGGAAAATTTCTCTTGTCTATAGAAAATTTTCGAAAAATTTCTCTTGTCTATAGAAAATTTTCGAAAAATTTCTCTTGTCTATAGAAAATTTTCGAAAAATTTCTCTTTTCTATAGAAAATTTTCATAAAATTTTTTCTTTTCTATAGAAAAATTTCATAAAATTTTTCTTTTCTATAGAAAATTTTCGGAAAATTTCTCTTTTCTGTAGAAAATTTTCGTAAAATTTCTCTTCTCTATAGAAAATTTTCGGAAAATTTCTCTTCTCTATAGAAAATTTTCGGAAAATTTCTCTTCTCTATAGAAAATTTTCGGAAAATTTCTCTTTTTTTTAGAAAATTTTTGGAAAATTTCTCTTTTCTATAGAAAATTTCTCTTTTCTATAGAAAATTTCTCTTTACTATAGAAAATTTTCACATAATTTCTCTTTTCTATAGAAAATTTGTCCTTTTTATAGAAAATTACTCTTTTCTATAGACAAATTTTCGGAAAATTTCTCTTTTCTATAGACAATTTTCGGAAAATTTCTCTTTTCTATAGAAAATTTTCAGAAAATTTCTCTTTTCTATGGAAAATTTTCGGAAAATTTCTCTTTTCTATGGACAATTTTCATAAAATTTCTCTTTTCTATGGAAAATTTTCATAAAATTTCTCTTTTCTATATAAAAATTATCTTTTCTATAGAAAATTTTCGGGAAATTTCTCTTTTTAAAGAAAATTTTCGAAAAATTTCTCTTTTCTGTAAAAAATTTTCGGAAATTGGATCTTTTTACAGAAAATTTTGGGAAAACTTTAAGAAAATTTATCTTTTTTATAGAAAATTTTCAAAAATTTTCCCCTTTTTATAGAAAATTTAGGAAATTGTTTCTGTTTATAAAAATTGAAAAAAAAAAAAATTTTTTACTATACCTTACTTTATGATCTTCTCTAGATTTTTATCTCAACTAACTTATTCTAAATAATATTCAAATGTAGGCCAAGGAACTTTGTCTACTTATAATAACTTTATCTTAAAATATCTTTTTTATTAAATTTTCATGCATAATTGTAAACATTTAAAAAATATAATTACAAAACAATTAATTGTCTTCTTTATCTTAGTACATTTTTAACACCATGTTTATCTCTCTGTATACTTTGGTATTACTTAAGGAAATAAATTTTATTTAATTCTCAGTTTATAATATGATAAAATACAGATAAGGTTGACTGCCTGTCAACTTAAATAAATAAGATGCGAGGGAGATTAATTTAAATGTAGAAATATGCAAATTTAAATTAAAAAAAAAGAAAATAGTGTTAATTTGTAAAGTGTAGTTGCTTAAAAATTTAGTTCTATCTCTAATTCTTAAATTTACTTCCTTTACGAGCTTCTTTAAGAAATTTGTTATATTGAAAATTTCATTGTGAATAACAACACCATCGAATTAAATGGGAAATTTCCGAATTTTATATTAATGTTGAAATTATTAAAACTATAGTTAGTGTCATGATCACTCTTAAGATAACAAAAAAACCTCATTCCAAGTCTGTCTGAAACCAATATGGTTAAAACGAAAAAAATAAATGAAGAATAAAAATATTCAATGCAAAAGCGTTTTATAATACCATCGAATTAAATGGGAAATTTCCCAATTTTATTTTAATGTTGGAATTATTAAAACTATATTTAGTGTAATTTTTCTTATGATCACTTTAAAGATAACAAAAAAACCTCATTCCAAGTCTATCTGAAACCAACATGGCTAAAACGAAAACAATAATGAAGAATAAAAAACAAATCATGCAGAAACGTTTGATAACAAACTCATACTTAATTCATGGAATAACTTGCCATAGCGAATAGAGTTAATAGAACGGAGATCTTATTTGTAATACTATTCTAGGGAAGTCGAGAACACTATTTTCAAATCCAAACTCTTGGTAGAGGACTAGACTGAACTAGAACTGAACGAGAACTGAACAAGAACTGAACTAGAACTGAACTAGAACTGAACTACAACTGAACTAGAACTGAACTAGAACTGAACTAGAACTGAACTAGAACTGAACTAGAACTGAACTAGAACTATAGAACTGAACTAGAACTGAACTAGAACTGAACTAGAACTGAACTAGAACTGAACTATAGAACTGAACTGAACTAGAACTGAACTAGAACTGAACTAGAACTGAACTAGACTGAACTAGAACTGACTAGAACTGAACTTAGAACTGAACTAGAACTGAACTGAACTGAACTGACTAGAACTGAATAGAACTGAACTAAACTGAACTAGAACTGAACTAGAACTGAACTAGACATGAACTAGAACTGAACTAGAACTGACTAGACTGACTAGAACTGAACTAGAACTGAACTAGAACTGAACTAGAACTGAACTAGAACTGAACTAGAACTGAACTAGAACTGAACTAGAACTGAACTAGAACTGAACTAGAACTGAACTAGAACTGAACTAGAACTGAACTAGAACTGAACTAGAACTGAACTAGAACTGAACTAGACTGAAACTAGAACCGAACTAAACTGAACTAGAACTGAACTAGAACTGAACTAGAACTGAACTAGAACTGAACTAGAACTGAACTAGAACTGAACTAGAAACTGAACTAGAACTGAACTAGAACTGCACTAGAACTGAACTAGAACTGAACTAGAACTGAACTAGAACTGAACTAGAACTGAACTAGAACTGAACTAAAACTGAACTAGAACTGAACTAGAACTGAACTAGAACTGAACTAGAACTGAACTAGAACTGAACTAGAACTGAACTAGAACTGAACTAGAACTGAACTAGAACTGAACTAGAACTGAACTAGAACTGCACTAGAACTGAACTAGAACTGAACTCAGAACTGAACTAGAACTGAACTAAAACTGAACTAAACTGAACTAGAACTGAACTAGAACTGAACTAGAACTGAACTAGAACAGAACTAGAACTACTGCCAAGAATTGAACTAAAATTAAATTTCTTATAATAACACTTTAACATTATGGGTCTTATTCATAAACTTTATCAAAGGTTTATAAATCAAATTTTCATACAAAATTTGTTCGATAAACCTTCGATAAATGTTTATGAATAAGGCAGTAAATCCTCATATATTAATTTCTTTTATAACACATTGTTCTAGAGAACGAGTTTCGGAAGATAATAAGTAGCTCCAAGGTTGCTTTTCAAGATTCTGAAGTGGTTCTGTTTAAAAATCTAGAACTAATTAGTTTATTTCTTTTTTACTGAGGTAATATGTTTATTCTAAATGAAATTAAAATTAATTTCAGTAACTATGTACTTGGTTCATATATTTAAAATTGGCACATTTCCCAAATAATCTACAAAAATACAAAATTAAGATTATTTTTTGTATTTGCGGATATTAACGATTATTTAATCTCTCTCTCTCTGACTCTCTTTAAGCATCAATTTATTGAATTTTATTGTTATTATTTAATATCTACATTTTACAGTGTAGTCTATGTAAATTAGTACATATATATGTATATCTTTCTACTTTGTTTGTATAGATAGATAGATATGATAGATAGATAGATAGATAGATAGATAGATAGATAGATAGATAGATAGATAGATAGATAGATAGATAGATAGATAGATAGATAGATAGATAGATAGATAGATAGATAGATAGATAGATAGATAGATAGATAGATAGATAGAGAGATAGATAGATAGATAGATAGATAGATAGATAGATAGATAGATAGATAGATAGATAGATAGATAGATAGATAGATAGATAGATAGATAGAGATAGATAGATAGATAGATAGATAGATAGATAGATAGAGATAGATAGATAGATAGATAGATAGATAGATAGATAGATAGATAGATAGATAGATAGATAGATAGATAGATAGATAGATAGATAGATAGATAGATAGATAGATAGATAGATAGATAGATAGATAGATAGATAGATAGATAGATAGATAGATAGATAGATAGATAGATAGATAGATAGATAGATAGATAGATAGATAGATAGATAGATAGATAGATAGATAGATAGATAGATAGATAGATATAGATAGATAGATAGATAGATAGATAGATAGATAGATAGATAGATAGATAGATAGATAGATAGATAGATAGATAGATAGATAGATAGATAGATAGATAGATAGATAGATAGATAGATAGATAGATAAGATAGATAGATAGATAGATAGATAGATAGATAGATAGATAGATAGATAGATAGATAGATAGATAGATAGATAGATAGATAGATAGATAGATAGATAGATAGATAGATAGATAGATAGATAGATAGATAGATAGATAGATAGATAGATAGATAGATAGATAGATAGATAGATAGATAGATAGATAGATAGATAGATAGATAGATAGATAGATAGATAGATAGATAGATAGATAGATAGATAGATAGATAGAGAGATAGATAGATAGATAGATAGATAGAAGATAGATAGATAGATAGATAGATAGATAGATAGATAGATAGAGATAGATAGATAGATAGATAGATAGATAGAT